ATATATATATATATATATATATATATATATATATATATATATATATATATATATATATATATATATATATATATATATATATATATATATATATATATATATATATATATATATATATATATATATATATAGAGAGAGAGAGAGAGAGAGAGAGAGAGAGAGACCGACAGACAGACAGACATAGATAGAGATACAGATAGATAGATAGATAGATAGATAGATAGATAGATAGATAGATAGATAGATAGATAGATATAAAACCATACATGCACATATACATACACCCACAAACACACGCTTTTTCTCCTATTCTTACCTAAATGGCATACCAGTTGATCACTGACTGATTGAGTATAATTCTGACAGAAAATTTCACCTATCTTTTTCACTCCTTTCAGGATATTCTCCATAGGATTCCGTATACATGATCTATAATGGAATATAAAAATACGTAATTTAAACATGATTGGCAAATAGCATCTTGTTTAAAACAAAATATTAATATGCATTTCAAACTAATTACAGATAATGTAATGTTTTTTAAAATAATAAACTTTACAAATAAGAAGTCTCCCATAATCATTTTAACAAGTGAATGTATTAATACATTTCATACTCATTATGCTACTCCCACCTGAGGTAAGCAATGTTACACCAAATGCAGAAAAGTAAGAAGTAATAAACAAAAGAAATTAAAGGAAGGTGATAAGTAAAAAAACAACAATCTGACTAAATCTAGTTTACATTAATATTAATTAAATTTAAATTAAATTAATTAAATTAATACTAAATCAAGTTTATATTAATACTACTCTCTATATGTTTCTGTCCTTGCAAATCATTCTTCCACACACAGATTCATTCCTGACATTTGCTCTTTAAACTTCTCTTTTGAGAATCTCAGCAATTCTACCTATGCACAAGTTTCTCAGTCTCCTCCTTCCTTTCCATCCACTCTTCCTTCATGTATTTATTTTGCAATACAATCCTCTTTTATTCTTGTTGTGATAAAACCACAGCACCTATTTATTTTTGATGCTATTATGCAAGCTATTCTCACTGGATCCAAATTACTCTTACATACTTATTTTTATAGAACATAAGAAACTTGTTACTATAATAGCTATTTTGGGTCTTTTTTTAAATATTTCTTGCAGGAAATCATATACTACATTCCTTCTTTCTATCAGCATTTGCACATCACGCTATGTCAATTACCTTTGCTTTTAAAATACTAATTTGCAGATCTATACTCCTTCATCTATCATGCAACCTGCCTAACCTTTCCAACAAATCATTCAAATCATGAGCAAAATATTTTCTTGCCCCCCCCAAAAGTTCTGTATCTCCAGTTTTCACTTTTTTCAAATTCTATTGCTTCTGCATTTATTTGAGAATCTGAATAGAAAACCTGACCTTACAAATACATAGAAAAATAATTGTGTTTCTCAGCCATGATTGAAAGTTCCTTTAAACATAACAGTAAAAATTTGTTCTTTAAATAATAAGACATTGCATATTGCTTTACAAAATATCTAAAATTTCAAATAATTTGCCCTTTAACATTAGAGGTTACAATTCAGGAAACATAGCATGGTTATTATCAAATAAAATATCAAATGTTCTAAATTATTATCAGAAAGATGAAAATCAGAAATTAGAGATATGAGCAACATAGAAGACAAATGTAATACAACTTACTCAAAAATAGCTACAAGCTGTTCACTTGGTGCATTTTTCAACCCTGTTACAATACTTTGTAACCGGCTCACACTCTGTGTTGCAGAAGCAACTGGAGTAATTACTGATTCCTTCTCTTTTAGATAACTCCTACCAGTTAAAGGGGTTGACGGTGCAAAAGATCTTTTCTGAAAGTCAAATAAAATCTTGTTTAAACTGCTTTGGCAACTGCATAGTCCAACATCACTATATAAATTTCAACAATTATGAACAGCAATTCAGAAATCATTGATATTGGCAGAGACATATTATTACAGCATCACAACAGATTCATTTTGAGACTTTCCTATGGCAGGTCTTTAGTGCAAAACACTATGGAGTTTCAGCTATTCTGAAATGGGCAGAGAATAATACTGCTCTTCTTCACACAACCCCTCCCCCTCCCTCCAAATCTCTCAATAACATGCATGATGAGTTATGTATGATCTGTAAAATGATTGGTTTCAGCTAGCATGACAAGCCTTCATTCATCATGGTGGAAATAAACTGTAATGGTTTTCAGTAGGTGAACCTCCTAGATATCCTTTCACAATACATTTCTTTACTTCTGAAAATCAAATAAATGATAGTTTTGCAGTAAATTCAAAATATTTTCTACATATTTGGCAACAATATTCATTTAACTGCACTAAAAACAGATGAACTATTTCAGTGGTTGATCTGAGAACACTATAGAAAGAATTCCTTTTTTCAAAAATTTTATAACTGTTTGCCAGGTCAGAGCTGATGAATGACTAAGCTAAAAATATTCCACCCTGGTTATTGTTTAATGCTATAACTAGTATATTTGCTTAAAACAAAACTTAAATTACCTCAAAATGCTGTTGAAGATGACATTCAACATGAGCTCTTATATTCCCACCTGGTGTAGCTGCACAACATTTTTGAGGTGTTCCAATTTCTTCTTCTGCATCTGTTCCCAAGAAAACCCTTTCATCAAAATCACCTTTTGTGAGAACATATTCTTCATATTCTTTATTCAGGGCCTTGCTGAAAAAATATGTAATGTTGAATGATTATTCCTCATTAATATACACTCAATCATATTCTTCCTTATCTCGCTGCTGATTTTTGAAAAAGAACACATTGATGTGGTAGCAGGAGAAATGAAGCATCTGCAATTGGTATATAAAGACCTTTAAAACTCCAATCTTCTTTCATGGTGCTGGAAACTCTCTGATTAAATGGGGTTGTTTTGAAATTTTTTATTGCCAGGACTAGAAATCTAACATAAATAAATTCCCTAAATCCTATCCATAGCCTGTTCAGGTAATTATAATATGGTTTCATCTAACATTCATAAATACTCCCCAATAGCAATTCACCATATATCCCAGAAACAACAGTAAAAACATTAGTTTTAAAAATCCAATGAGCAATTATTCCAACAGCTACCATACTTGTTACTCAAAATCAATCTAATTTGCATGCTAAAGTCACATAGAACAGCCACTTTTGGAATATTTTAATATATACTTTAAACAATGTGATTAAATAAAACACTTACTTGTTATTTACAAAGTTGCTTGGATCCAAAAGACAATCTCCTTTTAAAATCTAAAATCATTAGAAAAACAGAAACAGATAAGCAAAAACAAGATACCAAATTATTTTTTGACAGCCTATGTAATTTGTTGTAGTTCGGGTAACTTTGTACAGAAAGCATTATTTATTCAGAACCATTAACAAGCAGTGTTTTCCTCTGCTGATTATCGAAACATAAATATATAGCAGTTAACAACTTGCCAATTAAAATAAACCTAATTTTTATGATGCTTTTCTGAAACATAAAGAACACATGTATCTTCTTTTAATAATTATTCAGAAAATATCATCATCTAACTCCCTTCCCTAAGCCCTATGTATCTATATGAACATTTTCCAATCACATATTTTGTTACATAGTCTAAACAAAGCATAACCACACAAAAATCTCCTATATAACTAGCTTATATAAGATGAAGATAACCTGGGACTGTCATAACAAAGCATCTGTCTTGGCTTATCAAACCACAATACTGTATGTATAATTAGCATTATGTTGGATCGTAATGCTCAAAAACTACATCTAGTTCCTCTCTTCACCTTTGCAATAATTAGGAAATTGAAAGGTCCATTATTATTACTTTTAAAAGTAGTTTTCAGTGGTGGCTTATTATGAATTAAGTTAGTCATTAAGTTAGTAACATAGTTAAGTGAACGTGGCTTCCCCACTGACTTTGTTTTTCAGAAGGTCTCAAAAAATTGATCACATGACCCCAGGACACTGCAACTGTTATAAATATGTGTCAGTTGTCAAGCATCTGAATTGGATTGTAATAGATAGTCCTTGACTTATGACCACAATTGAGCTAGTTAGTAACGTAGTTGTTAAGTGAATCTTAACATTAACTTTGTTTTTCAAAAGGTCACAAAAAATTGATCACAATGCAACTGTCATAAATATGAGTCAGTTGCCAAGCATCTGAATTTTGATCATGTCACCATGGGGATGCTGCAACAGTCGTAAGTGTGAAAAATAGTCATGTCACTTTTTTCAGTGACGTAACTTCAAACATTATCACTAAATGAACTGTTGTAAGTATTCTGTTACTAAACAGAACCACACTGTAACTGCTTTCTTTGTAGATACCTTCAATACAGAAAACATAATCAACTACCAGACCTAGCATTTCTTTAATTTTAACTATTTATATTGCAGGTTCCAACCTAAGCACCGTTCACCTTTATTGTCCTTGAATTCCCAGAATTCTCAGTTACGGTAATGCTGGGAGTTCCAGAAGTCCATACTTCTGGAAAATATCATATTTGTGAAGATATCATATTGTAATACATTAAGATTATGTAACAGTGATAGTAGAAGGGTTGCTTGTAATAGTAGAATTGTTTGATAGCACTAAGTAGTACAAAAGGCAGAGTGTTTCTAACTTCTGATCAAAGGCAGCAGAAAAATTTTTTGGGGGGACAAAGTAAATACAGTGCCACAACATACAAGAGTTAAAAAGACTGTAGTTCATAACTAAATCTTTGATAGTACATTATATTTCCAAATATTCATTAAAAATTCCAGAAAATTTTTGTTCTCCTAGCAATAAAAACTTCAAACACAATTACATGATTAGTAATTATTTTTGACTGTATACCTCCCTATCATAGAGCTTTGAAATATATGGTTTAAAGTAATGTTCTTTGATGCCTTTGGCATCTAACAAAAGTCCATCATGTAATTCACACAGTGTAGAAATAATGCATGGTGCCCTTTCAGAAGCTTTGGAGTCAGTTGTATGAAAGTCTTCTGGCAAACCTTAAAAAAAATAAAAGGAAAGTTCCATACATTTAGTATGTATTCACTTTTAAAAACAAATTAAAACTTTGCATTGTAGTTGGGAGAAGATAATCAGGAACATACCTTTGAAAGATGGATTTATTAAATCTTTTTTATATGGACACAAAAGTGCATTTGCAAAAATCATATCCAAGCAGCATAAAAGTAAATGATATGAGTTCACTAGATCATCTCCAATCATACTGAAATTACCTTTAAAACAGAAAGCATCAAGTCATTCAACTACAGAGCTAAATATTTCACAAAAAACAGGAATAAAAATAAGCCATTATAAATTACCCTTTGCGTTGACAAACAGAGTCCAGCAGAAGTTGAATAGATCTTTAGCACTACAGGGAACCCGTCTATTGGAAGAGAAGTCTCATTTTAGTTCCAAATTATTACTTAGAACAGTGATGGCGAACCTTTTAGACACCGAGTGCCCAAAAACTGCCCCACCCCGGCACCACCCCACCCCCACACCGCCCCCACCCACCCGCAGGGCCACCCACCCCCTCCACGGCCCGCCGCAGATCGCCCAGGCGGCCCAGTAGCGCCATGGCGGCCATGCCCTCCACCCGTGCCCCGCAGCATCATATGTTTGCGACGGGGCGCAAGGGCGAAGTCTTGTCCCCACTGCCATGTCCTTGGCTGCGCAGCTCCAGGCGGGCCGTGCCTGGGGGCGACTCTCTTCTGGGGGGGCTGGTGTGGAGGGGGCCATGGGGGAGGTGGGGCTGGGGCGACGGCACGTGTGCCCACAAAGAAGGCTCCAAGTGCTGCCTCTGGCACTCATGCCATAGGTTCGCCACCACTGACTTAGAATTACTGAAAATCACACAGAAGATTTAGATTCTATTAAATTTAAGAAGGGCCATAAATGATTATAGCAACTTTATCTTAAAACACCATTTTGATATGTTCAAGCATCTGCTACCATATCAATCCTATTGTCTCCATGTTTTTGTAATACAATATTCCATTAAAAGATTCACACCATATTACACAAGCCCTTTACTTTCTCAACTACATTATTGAGAAAGATGTGTTTGGAGTCTGCCAAGAAACATACCAATGAATTTTATAAGATTACATACTTCCATTGCTCACTTTATTTTTTTTTAGCAACATGAAATCCAAAATACCACAAAACTTTTGAACATCTACCTTTGTTTCCTGCTCCTTTGAAACTTAGGTTGTTCTTCATAAGGATTTTTAAATATATCTAAAAAGATTGGAGTATATTTTTTGAATATTACTGTGGCCACTTCAAAGTTTCTCTCCAACTTCTCTACTCTCTCTCGAAATTCTTGACACAGGTTTGACATGTCCATCCATTTTTTCATTTTACTAAAAAACTGAATTAAACTTAAAAGAAAACAAAATTAAATTATAGCTTTATTTAATTTCTGTAGACATTCCAGTCTATTTTATAACAATTTCATTCAGAATGCATTAATAGATGCATATCACTTAATATGATTTAATGAACACAGCTGAAAATGTAAAAAGACTTCACTAGAACTGTTGTGTGAAATAAGGCACTATATTAATATCACAGTAATTAGGTAAACATGACTGAACTGGCTAATTATAATCCTGTAAAATAAGCTAGTGTGAAAAATGGTGATTAGCATTACTCAGTGTCCTTGATTGCACTAATTTGTTGAACAATGGTTTATTGAATACAATAACAATAGCTGGATTCAGGCTATACACTAAATCAAACAAAAATCACATTATAACAATATTTAATTACCTGATCAAACCACCTACTATCAAAAAGTCTTGCTTCCAATATATTAATCATTATGTTATTCTTTCTTTGGAATGCTTAATGAAAAACAAGGTCAAGTCTCTGTGCTATTCTTAAAAATGACCTTAAGTCATAATTTTATTTGCTTTTGGCTTAGCATATTGTATTAACTTAATTATTGTGGCTTATAAATTACCATAAAGACATTTTGCTGTAAAGACAGTCATTGTTCCTTATTCCTTAGAACACACCATGGCTTAGCGTGATCTGTTAAGTCAGTTAATATAATTACTATACCCCTCTTTTCCATGCTGCCTATGATCTTTAATAAGAAACAGTAAATACATTACACTGAACTGTTTACATAATAATATTAATATCACAACAAAAATTGTGAGGATGCTTGATTTAGGCAACAATTATTAAATAATCATTGTGATAACATTAACCAAAGTACAGATACCAAGTTCATTGCAATTCCCAGTTGGAAATGTTAGTCATCTCAGCTATATCAGGAGTAAACAATAACAGTAGGCATTCATTTATGCAAGCTTTGAACTGAATTTAATATTTCTATTGCAACTTTAGACCAGAATAGCACAGAGAATATTGTTTAAAATAAAAATACCTTAACTTTGCTGAACGCAGAATTCTGGTCAATGAGACACAATTTCCTTTCATCAAACTACTTCCTACAGTAGGCACTATACTTCTACGGCAAGCAACATAGAGAGCACAAGCCAACCAATGTATAATGTCTCCCTGAAAAAATAAGTTATTTACAGTCTGTAGGATTAATAATGCTGATTATATTGTGAATATATACTCACTTTTATAAAGCAAGAAGCTTTATAAATTAATATAAACAATTCTGATTTGATAAACAAAAAGGAAAGTTTTATAATGTACTTAATTTACAACACTAAATGTAAAGTTTAATAAATAAATACTTCTTTAATCCAAACTATGCTATTTCACTTTACACAAGTATTTTTATTGTTTTTAAATGATTCCTACTGTTATGAGATTGTGGCTAAATATCATTTTATTTTCAGTAATAGTATTTTATGCTTTTACTGTTCATTTTACTGTTTTAAGTAGCTTTCTATTATTATTGGATGAAATAAAGTACATTTTAATTTAAAATTTTATCTTTGAACTCCCTTCGGACAAAACCACTGCGGGTGGGTACTAGTTCCCTTGAAAGATCTATTAAAATATATTAACTGCATTCTGATATACGATTGCCAGTTTAAAAAGAATGATGGCGTACAGCATTTCACATGAATTCTGAATGTATGTCATAATTCTCTGCCTAACATAAAGATACGACAGTCACACGAAAAGAGTTCTTTTAAATCAAAGAATCTAATAATTATTAGCAGTCCTCAACTTACAACCATTTGTTCAGCGACTGTTCAAAATTATGATGGTGCTGAAAAAATGGACTTGCAATTTGTGCCCAAAGTTACAACTGCTGCAGCGCGTCCAGATTCATATGATCAAAACTCAGGCACATAGCAGTCTGCATGCACTTATGACCTGCAGCTTTAGCCAGAAATGGTAGAAGGGAGGTTTCCAAAGACTTTATTTTAGTCAAAAAAAATCTAACATTCAATATTTAATCCTATCCTATTCTCAAAGGCCATTTATCCAGTTTGACAACTGAAATTCTGTCCAAAGAGGCCACCATTCCAGCAGCTCAGGCTACTTATCTATTCTATTAGCAGACATTCATCTTATACAGGTAATCCTCAACTTACAACCATAATTGTGCCCAAAATTTCTGTTGCTAAGTGAGACATTTGTTAAATAAGTTTTGCTCCATTTTACAACCTTTCCTGCCATAGTTGTTAAGTGAATCACCGCAGTGGTTAAATTAGTAATACAATTGTTAAGCGAATCTGGTTTCCCCATTGACTTTGCTTCTCAGAAGGTTGCAAAAGATGATCATGTAACCTCAGGACATGCAATCATCATAAATATGAGTCAGTTGCCAAGAAGAGCCATGGTGGCTAAGGTTGACTCAGTCTTCCATCCTTCAGAGGTCGGTAAAATGGGGATCCCAGATTGTTGGGGGCAATATGCTGACACTGTAAAACGCTTACAGAGGGCTGTAAAGCATTATGTTGGGGTATATAAGTCTAAGTGCTATTTCTGTCTGAATTTTGACTATGTGACCATGGGGATGCTACAAGTTGTGTGAAAAATAGTAAGTCACTGTTTTCGGAGCCATTGTAATTTTGAATGGTCACTAAACAAACTGTTTTTTCTATTCTATGTTTATGAAGGTTTATCTATAATTCATTATATTGTTTCTTAAATTATGCTCCAATTGAACACCAGTAACCTTTATACAGCTTGAAGGTATTTTATGTTTTGTCCCAAGACTCCTCTGAAATTCTTTTGTGGATTTTGAATTCCTTTATTTCACTAGCCAAGCAACTACCATGTACATGAATAGACATTTAGCAGGTATTTTGAAATATCTCACTAAAACAGTAGGAAAATAAAAATATTAGAAGATTACAGAATGAAAGCTCAGAGGATGATATTGAAGATTACAGTATCTTTTATTCAAATAAATTTTATTATATGGATTTTCAGTATTTACCCCAAAAATACGAAAATAAACTAAAAGACATGCCAGCTTTTTAATATATCTCACATGTCATATTATACTCTGGAGACATACAAAAGGAAATTATACATAATTGAAATAAGTTTTCCTTTGTTATGGAAGTATCTTGTTTGGAGTTCCATAATCTAGAATAGTGTAAAAACCATTGATTTGCTCAATAACTCAGTTTTCTAGGTTCATACAATATACTGAATCTTATAAACCTTACAGTTTGGGATCACGTAACATATTAGCCTAAGTTATAATTCACTATTTTTATCCTTGATTATATCACTAGTCATTCTATTTCTGGACAGTAATTCCTATTATTCAAGAAAGATAACTTTTTTCATTATGGTTAATATTCAGTATTTATACGTTAGATTTCTAAAACTATGGAACAGAAAAAGCAAGGCTATGTATTTCCGCCTCCTGAGGCAGTATTTTAATAACATCTTCAAGTAAATATTCAAATAAACAGTGAAAAATAACACAGCACAAAAAGTTTAGGCCATCTGCATTTTTTTCTTGGCATTCCGCTTTCTATCAAAATCCTTTTCCGGCTTATCTGTGATTTATTGCATTGAGTTAAATGGCTCTCCTATGGATCTCAGAAGATTTACACACATCAGTGATCGTTCTTACTTCCATGGACCTCTGGCGAGCAGTGTTCCAATATCTCAGGGGTTGCCATAAAGAAGAGGGAGTCAAGCTATTTTCCAAGGCGCCTGGAGGCAGGACAAGAAGCAACGGGTGGAAACTAATCAAGGAGAGAAGCAATCTAGAACTAAGGAGAAACTTCCTGACTCACTCTTGTTAATTGGTCACCTTGTTGGACGGAGGTCTTCGCCACTTACGAGGAACACTGGAAGTTTTTAAGAAGAGACTGGACAGCCATTTGTCCGAAATGGTATAGGGTTTCCTGCCTGAGCAGGGGGTTGGACTAGATGACCTTCAAGGTCCCTTCCAACTTTACTATTATTATTATTATTATTATTATTATTATGGATCATCGCACAGTCAGCCAGATGTTCAGACTGGATTTGGCATTTTGTCTACCTATCGAGTCCTTTCCCAGGACCTGGGATAGGCAGATGTGGATGTTTGATGGTATTACAGATATCGTCGCAGGATGGAAGCAGTTCCTAGTAAGGCCGTGCTTCCATCCTGCGACGATATCTGTATTATTATTATTATTATTATTATTATTATTATTATTATTATTATTATTATTATTATTATTATTATTATTATTATTATTATTATTATTATTATTATTATTATTATTATTATTCATCTTTTCCGACGTCCACCCATAAGGCCGTAGCAGAAGGTCCCTGGGTCACCGTTAAGTGCTTTAAAAGGCAGCAATAAAAGCCTCCTCGGGAACGGCCACTCGAAGCCCCGCTCAGGACAAGCCCGAGTCGACCGTTACCGAGGCCCAGGGGCCCCAATCTTGGATTATGCCCCGTCCTCCCAAGAACAAGGAAGCCCCGGCACTGCGTTGCCACCTGAGCATTTAACCAGCTGCAGGATTCAGTCAGTCAGCCACTCGGGTACCATCCCTTCCTTGACAGACAAGCCGCATCTCACCTCAAGGCTGTAGGTGCCCCGCAAGGCTGTAAAATCCCGAAGGGCTTCCGACGCGCTGTCAACGTCCAGATTGAGTTCCTGACACAAATGGTCGAGGGCGGCCCGGACAGGGGACTGCCCAGCGGCAGCCTCCTCTTCTTCCTGAGGCATGATAGCGACCGTTCCCGCAGCCGCAGGCGCTGCCCCTACCCACAATGCTTTCTGCCGAGCGCGCCAAAACCCTCAACCTGTAATGGCCAAGGTGACGCCCCTTCCGCCCCGCCCCCTTCCTCTGCTCCGCGAGACGGCTGGGCGGAGCCTTCTGCCGGTATTCCCCACTGGTCTCCTATAAGAAACTTACGTCATTGTGTTTTGCATACCCTCGATATACATAATTGTGGACTACGAGTGAGGTTCGCGCAACAGACTTTGCTAGTTTGGGGCTCCCGTATCGTGCCAGCTACACAACGTTTGTCATTCCTCTTCTTGGGCACAATTCGCGAGAAACACGCCGAGAGAGGTTGGTTCTTGGTTTTTAAACGCCTGGCTTAGTTTCTCAACCTTGACAATTTTAAGGCATGTGGACTTCAACTCCCAGAATTCCACAGCCAGCAATGCTGGCTGTGGAATTCTGGGAGTTGAAGTCC